TCAAACTGCCCAAAACAATGTCAACATCGCATTTTTCTATGAAGTTTTATCTCTAATACTAGAGCCAAGAACTACGAACTTTATGATATACACCAATTCACATATTTGTTGTATCACCCAATGGATCTCAACATAGGACAATAGCCTACTCCATAAATGTAAAGGTACCAGGCATTGGGCAATAAAGAAATAAATGGGCAATTCATTCTTCCACACTTTTACATATAATAAACCATTGAAGATAAAAACAAATTGAAGGCCTTCTTTTCTGGATCATCTCATTAGCATTAAGTTTCTTATGTGCAAGTAGCCATGCAAAACTTGGACCTTTAATGGTGCTTGGGACTTCCAAATCATTTTAGATGGTTCAAAATTCGAGAGTTTTAAGTAGAAATCAAAGACTCAAAAGAAAGATTCGCAATCGTGACAATAAGCTACACAACCGGGGGCTAGCCAACCCAACCCCAAAACAAAAAATAAATAATTTGTAAAAGGAAAAAAAGATGTTGTAGGCCTAGATCCTAACCCACGACTCAGATATTAGAATATCATGCAAAGATATCCATAATTTAATCGACAATCTACAGATAGTCTAGCTCTATGGTTTTGTTTTGTAAACTGTGTTGCAACTTGCAAGTTACATGGTCCCACACTAATTAGTCAAGGTCACTGTGTTGATGTCAAGCTGACAATAGTATTTTGGATGTTCTTAGAAGCTGAAGCTTCCGTCACATGCATATTGACAATCTGCTGAGTGAAAATAATTCCTCTTAAGTTAGAGACCGGTATTAGAAGACATTGAAAGTTATTTAGGTTGAGTAGTAAGCACTCTCCCACAGTTATATTTCATCTAAGCTTTATTTAATATCAGTGTTTTGTTTGGGATGGGGCTTAAGTTATTATAAACTAATCGAAAGAACAAGAATTGGTCTAGTAAAACAGTGGCCCCGAAATATAGACAAGTGATGCGGTTATCAGCTTTCTAAATTCACTAGAATTCATTTTCTAGAAATGAAAAAAGATGCATGTGTCAGCTAGGAATCCCAGTCAATACACTGTCTCAGATTGAGCCCTTGATGCAACTGTTTTGGCAGAATGTCCTACATCTTTATTACATTGAATGACTATGTACAATATAGATGGATAAATATATCTCCAGCGTAGCTACATGTCACGTGCAAATTATACGAACTACGAAGTAATAAATCCTTAAGAGGGGTGAAGCACAAAAGCAACATATGAAGTTTTACTAAAAGAAAGTCATTTTAGCATAATTGGTTATGTGCTAGTATAACATATTAGGGGCGAAAGAGGTGAATTGCATGCAATCAAAAAAACAAGACAATGGATTTTAAAAAGGCAAGGGGGAGTAGATGGAAGCAACCGCCTCCTTTAGGTTTGGATAGTCCTTTAGTTTGATAAAAATATATGAAGTGATCCTGACAAGGAGTTCGCCTCGCCCAATGTCTTCTAATTTTCCAAAATCCCCCCTCCCCAAAAAGAACACAACTTTTCTGTATGTCAAAAAATATCCCCCCCATATATTCGTAACAAAATTATAACATAGACCATAATGCAAAGAAATTAATTTTACTAGCAAGGAAGATTTGTGTAAATTAACAAGCTATTTACTGTCCGACTAATAGAAAACCAGCGCATAATCTATATATCTCACAAGTTCAGTTTACATTGGCTATGTTATATCATATATGAACATGAATTTCGAATATTCAAAAACAAACAAATCAATTTAATGGGAGTAGTACGAGAGGGAAAAATTAATTACCCAAATGCTTGATATCTTCCATTATGGACTTGATGTCCATTTTTTGGCCATTCAGATTCATATAACTTGTCGATGATCCTTCTTTAGCTCCTTCCCTTTTTTTTCCCATTCTACACCAGTCAATTCAACTGCAAAGTCATTAAAAAACACAGAAGTCAGACAATTAGTACAATTGATCATTATTAACTGCAGCAAATAAAAAAGAACTTCCGCAGGATGCATTATATATAATAGATGAAAATAATATGAACAATAAGTATATATTGCTATACATATGAGAAAATTGGAAATTACATCGGGAAGATCATCCGTTTTTCTTATTTCCCAAAATACTAGCAACTCCGGACAAAAGGGTTTTGGAAACGAATCCAGAGAGAGAGAGAGAGAGAGGTTTACCTACGGTATATATTTGGCCGCAGACTAGTCGGAGTACTGTGTTGCGACACTAATGAGCAAGGAAGGTCAGAGTTTGTGAACTAACCGAAGAAAAGAGAGTTTGTGTATATCACTGTCGCCAACGATGGAGAGAGAGAGAGAGAGAGAGAGAGAGAGGGAGAGAGAGTTATGGGTTTAGAATACAGGCATGCTTTCTTTACAACTTGGATAACTATTTCTTGTGATGGGACTTGGGTATGGGTAGGATGGGCCGATCGGGCCAGGCCTATCCACCGACAAACGATCTTAGTTAGCTATTGAATTGGGCTATCGACAAGCCAGCAACTTTCCCATCGCCCATCGGGTAGCCCTTCTCCTAAGATTTCCTTGTCATGGGACTTAGGTTAGGTTTAGAATCTGGCCGCGCCAGCCCAAACCCATCGACAAACGGTCCTAGGATGAACCCAGCTAAATAATCGGTCTGCCCCCAACAGCAACACTCGAGTCAACATTAATCATTTTCGGTGGAATCCTAAAACCTATGCTCCGAACATTACTGCCATACATATTTGGGTTTTTCGCACTTCACACTTCAAAAGATGTCTCAATTTTCATTTTGAACCCCAAAGGATTATTTTTTTCACATTGCACCTTAAATATCATAAATTAGTTTCAATGTGACCTTCAAACTAACATCTATTTCAGATTCCGTTAAAAATTGATTTACATATCATCCAAGAATATAAATGGTAAGTTTATATTTTTTCCCAAGGACAACACAAATGAATGGCATCTGCACCAATTTTTACAAGAATATGAAATTGATGTTAGTTGGAGGGTCACATTTAAATTAATTTATGATATTTAGGGTGTAATGTGAAAAAAATAATCATTTAGGGTGCAAAGTAAGAATTAAGATATCTTTTGGGGTATAAAGTGCAAAAGCCCTATAAATTTAATAGAAAATTTAATCCACAAGAAGAAAATTCTGAATAATTTAATTTAATCCATAAAAAGCAAATTCTAAATAATATAATCCAAACTAAAAATTTCAAGCAAGCAATTCAAATAATTTAATCACAAGTTTTTTGACTTTGAAGAGCGTTTGACATAAATAATTGATAGACAATTCTATCTAGGGTTGATAATCGAATCGAACTATTTGAAATCGATCGTATTCGANTAAGAGCGTTTGACATAAATAATTGATAGACAATTCTAACTAGAGTTGATAATCGAATCGAACTACTTGAGATCGATCGTATTCGACTTGTTTTAGATTCGTTCAGGATTTGCTTGTTTAGAAAACGAATAAATAAGTCAAATTTAAATAATTTTTTAGGCTCATTTAAAAAACAAGTTCAACAGGCTCAACTCGAATTCGACAAATCCGACTCGTGTATGTATAAATACTTAGATTCGGCTCATTTTAAGTTTATTCAAATTCAATTTGGGCTTGACAAGTCCGAGTCGAACTCAATAAAATGGTGTCGAACTTGAAAGCTCATTTACTAAAGTCAATGACAAATGAAGAATAAACACCCACTCACAAGTCTTGGTTTTCTCAACATTTTGTCAACCAAAAGATCAAACAATCGATTTTGACATTCCATCATTCAATTTGGTCAGGCTTAATAAATTAAGTAAGTTCAAATTAGCTAAAAAATAGGTCATGCTTAGTTTGTAAATTCAAATCAACCCAAGATCCAAAGAGTCTATGAAGAATTAGAGCACGTAGAGAGCAATTATCGGGATACCCACTCTCAAATATCAAAACAATCTTTTATGTCACTTATCTTTTTGTAACAACCAGGAGAATTAGTACTTTTGCCCTCACGTTATCATCTTAATCAAGACTCTGTGTCTATAAATTGTAAGTTCTCTCTACATGAGATGACACTCCTTAATACCTCTTGAGATCTCTCTACATCTCTCTACAGACACATAACTTTTTTCTCTCTTAGCTATTATATTCTTTACAGAGCTAACCATTGCTCTCTCTCTCGTCCACCTTACTTTATCAATAAAATCTCTCAGTCACCATTGCCGTTTCCTAGAATAGAATAAATTATCTAGATCGAACTATTATATATATGTATGTTAATTCAATTTTTACATTATTGTCATTGATTGTTCTATTAACTATCAATTAATTACACTTTATTACATACTCGATTGTTGATCTCGCACGAGACTATTTTGTGCATCATTAAATTCTTACAAAAGCCAATGATTTGATATTTTGATTGCCCTCTTTCGGATTTTTTTCACTTTTTTCTAGGTGTTCTCTTCTAATATAAATGTACTATTTAAAACTTGTAATTGTTGATTATTCATTAAAAAAATAATATACCAATATATAGTAAAATAGCTACAAACGTGTATTAAAAAATCCAAAATTCTATATTTTTTTTCAAAAAATAGTAAAATAGCTACAAATGTGTATTAAAAAAATCCGAAATTCTATATTTTTTCACAAATTATATTCTTTTTCAAAATTCTATATCATACGCCCCCTCTTGCCTAGTTTTTGAGATGAATTGAAAATTATCAAAGTAATGTCAAGAGTCTACACAAAAGGCTTTAGCATTTAGTTTTTCTTTTTTTCTTTTACCATTTTTGGCCTAAAAACTGTTGTCGTGCAAGTTTTTAAATCTCCACTTTAAAATATGAAGACACGAAGAACAGATATTCCGAAGTTAACTCAAATGACCGCTTTATTTTAGATTGATTGATTCAAATCAGCAGTCGATTCGAAAAATTACATCCCCCTTTTAGCCAAGCAGATCAATTTAGAGGAAATATCAGGGGGGAAAAAAAAAGAAAGATATTTAAAAACCACATATATAAGGTTAATTAGACATAAGAGTAAGATTAGAGACACTAATAAATGAAGATGTCCATGTTCAAATACACCCAGGCCTATCACTATCAAATACTGCTCTTACCCACATGATCAAATTTCCACCATCCATTGCCATTTTTAATCGTGGGACCCACAAATTGAATAGCTTTTATGGACAGAAAACAGCTACACAAGCATCTTTAGGGTTCCTCTTTTGGCACCATGTGAACCAACCTACCATTTTAAGTTGAGTCCATGCAATATATGCCATTCAACAAGGCCAAAACTCTGCTTTCTTCACCTTTGACACACTCTCTAGTACACCCACAGGTGACACGTGTCCCATCACTGTCACCCTTTTGTCCTCCAGATCTATACTGAATGATGTCACACCTGATAATTTTCGAGTCAAAACAAAATCAAATTTATCAGTTCAATTTTGGGTAATGAAANACCCTTTTGTCCTCCAGATCTATACTGAATGATGTCACACCTGATAATTTTCGAGGCAAAACAAAATCAAATTTATCAGTTCAATTTTGGGTAATGAAAATTTTTTCAAAAATATTTGTTTATCAATTTTCGATTACCGAGTAAATGTGGGTGATTGGATTAGTACGTTCCAACCATTTTTTTCTAGTATAACCCCCCTAACCAAATCGTCTAAATGTACTCGACAAGCGAAATTTGATAAAAGACGATCTTATAGAGTTGACTAGAATGAGATTGACAATTATTTGATGTGTGACTAAAACAACCTTGTATAATGAGAGAAAAAAAATGAAGGAATGGATAAGATCATCAAGGAATGAAGAGATCATCTTTGCTTTGAGTACATATATAGGGTTGTTGAAATCTTGTGTAAGCCATACATGACCTAGCAGGCTAGCACATGGCCAGTACTGTGATATTTATTTAGTCCTTGACCTAGAAATGTGTTAACTTACTATTCCAGTGCAAGGTAGGTTGAAATCCATACACAAACCTACTGCTTCCGGTGAATTTTGAAAAATATAAGTTGTAAACGGTCTTACTCTGTTTGGCGAGACTAATTCTTATTCTAGTGCAAGTTGGGTAAAAATTGATTTTCACGATTTCAAGACTAGAAGTTTTTTTTATCTAATTTATTCCTTATGTACAGTGATGGAGAGGGGGATCCAAACTTAAATTATCGAGGTCAACTCAAGTTANAGGACAGTGATGGAGAGGGGGATCCAAACTTAAATTATCGAGGTCAACTCAAGTTACAATTTGTCACCGATATAAAACCGTGATTCTTTAGTGTTTTTGGATCTCTTCCAAACAGAGCTAGACTAGCAAAATATTTGGGAAAATTTGGTCATTTCTAAAGGTATTCTCCATAAATTTTTAGATTTGGTGGTTATTTTGTCCATAAGTACACTATTAATAACATAATATGGTCATACAAGTAAGCAAAATGATTGTTTTCATTTTAAAAGTACCTTCCATCTTAGATAAATGTTTCTTTACTTTACCAGCACAGCCTTGGCAGTGAAGAGAGACTCTCATTACCACCACCTGCACTCACAAACATGACTGATGGTGCATTATTAAACTATGTATCAAGAGAACAGTTTATGTTTTAAGTTTCATTCCCCATTTCCTCCATTATTCATAGTGCATACGAACTTGCAAAGATTAGTTTAGTGATCGAATAAAAAGAGTCAGGTATAAATCCGTATAACTTGAATTCGAATTCACTGGCCTTGTAGAACTCCGGTTTCATCGATGCGTGCGGTTAACAAATGATTGAGTTGTGCCCGTGTAGTGTGTTATAACTATAAGTCTAAAGAACGTGTTGTTGGAACAATTATGTAATAAAATATTAACATACAGAGTCATATCTTGGACATGGGATGAAAACAAAATGGGAAATCTATTCCCAAATTGTAGGCTAAAAGGCCTACATATAGCATGGTACATCAGCTAAAAGTGATCTAAAACTTACCTGAAAGACATGGTCTGAAGAAGCTACTTGGGAGGCCTTTTTGTGTCCCTCAACATGGTCTTGGTCCCTTGTAAGAGATGGAACAGTAGCTGATCTCCTAGTAACAGGAGCAAATCTACGGGACTCTACGAGTCGAGAGTACTTGGCATTGTTGATAAATCTTGCATGTTCAACCAGCATTTGGTTTGGCCTTCGCGGCACTATCACTGACCGGGGATCACTGGTGCAAACTGCAGTGGCTGCAGGGGACTGGCACATGAAACCCCTCATCTTCTTAGTTGCTTTCATGTTCATGGCACTATTATCTGTATATAGAGAGAGATCTTGAGAGAAACTGAGAGGTTTTGTAGGATGAGGGATAGTATGCAAAGTGAAATAAAGAGTGAGGCACTGAGACTGTAAGTAGAGAGAGAGAGTACTATGGGGGAGGCAAGGCTATCTTTATGACTTAGATAACAAACTATTGGTAGATTAGCCTAGTGGTAGCTCAGCCATGATAAACATCTCAATAGGTCAAAAGTTCGAATATTTATTTTACGGATGTATATGCTTCATGGGGCCATCGCTCTCAGATTTACTCCTTGGAGAGACGGTTTTGCACAAAAGTCCAAATTAGTCCGGCGTGTGAGGACTGGGATAGATGGAATTCCAAAGAAAAAACTAAGAATTAGTGGCAGTGGTTGATTATATGAGGTACTATGTACCACTGTTTGGAAGCAGTCATGTGCCCATTCCAATTATCATTGTCTGTACTTGATGCTAACTAATAAAATCCTAAAAATGTAGGAGACCAACACCCTTCAATTTTTTGGGTAAACTGTTGTGATCATTGTTGAAAACCTTGAGTAATTAGTAGTTGTATATAACACGGTTTTGAAACCTTATCACTGAATTCAACCATTATCACTATGCAACCATTTTAAAATTCCATCGTATGTGCCAAGTGAGTCTTAAAATTACATAAATTTTGCCTAGTCGCAAAGACATCCAAAGGGTTTGTCCTATAAATCGAAGTCCATGATCCGTCCATGCCCCAATCTACTTGTTTCCATATTTTCATACACATTCATAAGCTAATCATTTTGTGGCACATAAAATGGTATGGGTTGAAGTTATTAGCTGTGTGTCTAGATGTTTGGTTTGTTTATTCAGGAGATTTAAGAGAGTTCTGGCGTTCCTTGAAGAGATGAATATTAAGTCCATTAATTACACAGTACCTAAAAGTAAGGACCATGTTTGAAGGTGCAAGGAGAAGGAATCAATTTGAATTAGGAGAGAAAGGGATGGTCAAAAAAGAGACAAGAGGTATAAACAGAAAGAATTCAGTTAAGTGCAGTGACTTTCTGCCATTGCAGACTGCAGAACTGTTGTTCCAGTCTTTTAACCCCCCCCCCTCTCTCTCTCTCTCTCATGAATATTGCAGTGTCAGAGATGGAGTTAGGGGATGGCACGGTGCTAGCAACTTTGAAGGTGAAAATGTTGATTGCAAATTTGTTATGTTGCTAAAATTAAACCACTGAGATAAGATTATATCAACTTTCTTTGTGTTCATATGACTGAAAATTTTAGACACAATCCACATGGTATAGACATTTTATTCCCATAAAAGATAGCTCAATGCACAAGGTTCCTGCTACTACATGGTTTAATGTCGCGGTAATACCAATCGTCTCGGAAGGTCCAAAGCCGTATCAGTCATAATATTATAAAACAGTATATATCGAGCAATATGCAAAAAATGATAAATAAAATAATTTAGTTGGACGTAATAAAAAATTCATGTCTTATGATAAGTTGAGTTAGAGACGATGATTTGGTTGAGTAAATTGACTCATCATCCCTAAGTCAATCACGAGTCGCGTGACTTGCGGAGTCGTGGTTTACACAGAACTTGGGATGGTATTATTACAAAAAGTGTTGGCTCAGATATAATTGGCCGATTCTTTAACCCATGCACCACTATTAGGTTCGACAAGGTCAGATACACATAACCTCATCACACACTCTAATTACCAAGTATGTTATTGTTCTTCGTATGGGTGCCAAGGACCACTAGGTAAACCAAAGGGACTGCACTGCACATTATTTGAATAATAGAAGACAAGAAAACAAATAGGTAGATATATACAGAGGTCCACACCAACTCTCCCCAAGGATGAATTCACAAGTACTACTAACCTAACCACTCCACCAGCCACCAGGGAATGCCCAGTGAAACTCTGCCTCACCCTCTTTTAATTCCCTTCCATGCTTCCAAATTTGAACAACAGAGGTCCCCTCCTCACCCTTAATTTCTGACCTTTCCCTTCTGCAACATATGCTCCTCCACAACAGCACTTACCTACCAGTTTTTATGGCAGAACAACACAGCCTTTTGTACCATTTCATTGACCACAAGTGGTGGTTATTTCAAGGTTGCAGTGTCTTGTTGCCAAACACAGTTATTGCTTTCAATTAGAGGTGGTTTGAGTTGGTTATGGGCCGGTTCAATATCAGTTGGGTGTAAAATAAATTCAATTTATTTTCAACCCGTTTAATAAACAGATTACAATAAGTTAGATCATCACGTGTCAAGTTAAACTTATTAACCCATAAAATAATTAAAACTCTTAATATGAACTTATACTAATACACTAAAAATGTATACACCAAAACACACACACACACACTAATATATCAAAAATACACACTAAAAAAAAATTAATAGAAAGATAAATACTCAACTCAATTACTACCCATTTTTAATCCATTTTAACCCGTTTAATTAAAATAAATCTTATTACCTAACCCATTTAAAACTCATATTAATTAATATAGGTACCCAACTAATTTATTTATAGACAAATTAATTGGGCTAATAAATAATTATTAAGATTTTCACCTTTACTTTTAATAGTTGTATAATCTAGTTTCTAGCAATGGCCACTGATCTTTGATGGTGTGTGAACCATTCTGAAGTTTGAACAACTAAAATAATATTCAATATAATGGTTACATTACGTCAGTATTGTCACGTGTCATAACATTCAATTAGTGTATAATGAATTTTACATGAATTCTTTACAAATGATTTTTGTTTTTGTTTTTTTTTTTTTGCTAGTGAAAAAAAGGTTGCAAGGGGGCAATTGGCATAGAAATGCTGCCTGGACATGACCAGAGCAGTCTGAACCGACAGGGTAATGGAGACAGGGACTTCGTCGGGGTGGGCCTAACATCTGTAATAGGAAAAGTATGTATGAAAGACAACCCATAACTAATTATTTTGAAGGGTTTGGCTTGGGAAAAGATGACAATGAGAAGCATTTATAACAGGTCCTCTAGGATTGAATTGGGCGTGAAGAAGGTGAATAATCCCTAGCACAGAGTAAAGGTTGGTCNTGGAAAAGATGAGAATGAGAAGCATTTATAACAGGTCCTGTCGGATTGAATTGGGCGTGAAGAAGGTGAATAATCCCTAGCACAGAGTAAAGGTTGGTCTATATCTTTATGTCTCCCAACTTTGGTAGATTGTATCCATTCAAAAAGTTACCACACAACGAATTCAAGTTACAATTTTAATGAGATCAAAGGTATTAATCACCGAGATCCAAATTTTTAGCATGAATACTAAATTGATCTTTATAAATCCTAACCGAAAATATTTGAATCATAACTTAGTCTGATTAGATTGTAACTTTCAACCGTGTTAGTTTTTAATTCTATAGTGCCAAGCTTAGTTAAAATTGAAAAATGAACAGGAAGAAAGTTAGAGTGAGTAAAAGTGCTTATAGAAGCGACATGCATATTTTAGCTGGCTAGCCATTCATTTCGAGGGTAGCATTGATGAGATGCAGTCATCCACAAACAATTGCCAATTTCGTGTCAAGAAATATCCTATAAGCGATCATCTCTAAGTAAAAATTGAATTTGTCACTCTGTTTTTATGTCACATAGGAAGCCTCTTCCTAGACCATGGATTACAAGTATAAGGATTCCGATATTCTCTATTAGGTGTTTTTCAATTTTATTTAATAGTAAATCATCCATCATATATAGGTGAGGAACCCACTCATATCTAATAAGTCTCAATTGAATTCATGACAAGTGATATGTAAAATTGAATTTTAAAGTCTAATCGAAAAGATCTCAATTTGGTGTAAGTTGTTTTCGAACATTTAGGTATTATAAAATAAAATTCACCTAGACTTTGGGACCTTCTGTAGACATTCCCCTCCTCCTCCTCCTCCTCCTCCTCCTGATTTTGACCTCCCTTGAAATGTCTCATTCTACTTCTTGATGTAATCAAGAAGGGGGTGGTTGGAGGTGGTTGGAGGTGTCCGTCGGAGCTTAAGTGGGTACAACTACTGTTGTAAACTCTGATGAGAGATTTTCTGGTAAGGAGTTGGTCCATTGACTGGCCCATCAGCCAAGAGGCCCATTGGGCCAGGCCGACCCAAACTAATACTCCAATCGGTAGAGTCAATGGCAGTGATTTTAGGTCCGTCTACTTAAACCATAAAATAGATATATAAAAAAGTCACTCCACATATTCGTTAGAGAACATTGTCTCTCAATACCACACAACTATCTACAGGGGACTCCACTGCACTTATGTTGAGTCGACCCCGTTGATTTCACTCCAAATAATTTGATACATAGAGTCCCTTAAACNTTATCTACAGGGAACTCCACTGCACTTATGTTGAGTCGACCCCGTTGATTTCACTCCAAATAATTTGATACATAGAGTCCCTTAAACGTGGCGAAGATTCATAAAACACAGAATGCAGTGCCCCAGCCTGTCTTGCCAAAGGATCAGCACATGCACTGGCCTACCCATATGTCTGCTCCATTTTCTGCTCCTTCATATCTCCCTAGGGGAAACATAAAAATAAGTATCAGCCATGGATGAGACCTATGAGATTCGGATCAAAATTCGAATAGTAAAGGCAATGATAAAGTCGCATTTGAATCTATAGAATCGACATAATTTTAGAAGAAGATATGATCTATCAAGTATCAATTCCGACAAATAAATTAGAATAGAAAACAAAAATGTCACAATCAAAATCCATGTTTGAAGGGATAACCACTTTCCAAACCCCCTGCCCCCCCCCCCTTTTTTTTTGTGATCAGGCTATTACAACTTGCAGGGGGCAACTAAATCGGGTTTTGGACTTTTGGGTCCATCGAAGTATTTACAATGAGGGTGACGAACTACTTTGATGGACCCAAAAATCCCAACACCCGATTTAAGTTTTATTTTTTTAAGTTTGCGTCGACTATTCTTTCGAACTCAAATACTAACTATGATAGTTCAAGTGGATTTAAAATATGTCCTCTGAGAAATAAGGATGAATGCATTTAAGGAGTATAGGAAGCGTTAAACTTGATACTCATGAATTATCAGATGTTAGACTCAATCACTAAACCACCTTATTTATTTTTCACTATTGTGTTTGGAAAAAAATTCACTTTGCCTCCCCATA